ATACACATTTTTTACGTTTATGTTTATATTTCTTAACCATTATCAAAAACGACATTCTTGTACATGTAGTTATGGATAATATTATACATCAATTACTTGTTTTTTAATTAATAACTATTTGTGACCTGTTGGTGATATTAATAGGTATCAGCTGATGTGTTAAAATTTTGGAATATTGCAATAATTAAAATTCAAATTTCATCTATTAGATGTTGCTATCTGTTGATAGGAAAAAAGCAAAAATTTAAATTAATAACTAAAAAAACGAAATAAGCATACAATTATTAGGTTGGTGCAAAAATAATGTCGTTTTTTGACGTTAAGTTGAACGTCAAAAACGACATTATTTTTGCACCAACCTAATATATGCAAGAAACATCGAAGCAAAAAGATACCTGACAACTTCCACATTTTTAAAATATTTTTCAATAACATTCGAGGCCGTCGATAATTGTTAGCTTCGACCTTTATCAATAATTTTATATTGGGTTTGAATTCAACTATAGCCACTCTTTTTTATTATCTTTCATTTAGACTCTGACTAAATTCTTTGGTGGTATATTTTGCATTGTTATGCAAAATTCAATGACCAAACCATATGATTTGATAGTTTTTGTAAGATCATGTTATCCAATATAACATATGCAATCTATGATTTTTTTAATTCAGTACAACAGATGTTATATCTGATTCGTTGTTCGCAACTTTGGATGTTTCTCTTACTGAATTCTTATTTCCATCGCAAAGAAATCTGTTGATACTACGTTAATATGTCCATTGTTATTTTGGATTAATAATATACCAATAATTATCTGCATAGTATATGATCATTCTTGGGTTTGATTTCGATATTTGCCGGCACACCAGGCTTCAAAACTGCGAGTATTTTTTTAATTACCCGTCACATCGACATTTTGTACGTTTTTTTCTTCATGAGTTAAATTTTGTGGTCATGAAAATTTTAATGATTTCTCTCATTGATTTTGGATTGGCAAACTGTACCCATCTTTTCGACGTCTGACAGTTCGTTTTGACGAATTTGAGTTGTTACATTGCGACACTGTGATTGGGATACCCACACAGAAGAAGAGGGTGCGTGAAGTCATCTCTATTTTATGCGTTTTGTGTTTTATGGTCGGTGAGGTCTTTGTAGTCGGGTATTAAATAGATGACATCAAAGATGGAGGTCAAGCGACAGAAAAGCGGATATAGATGATATCCGGTTGATGACCTATATTAACAGCCAAAGTTTGGATCGTAGTAATCAGTTTTTCTCTTTGTCTCAAGCAGTTCCCATAGGGTTTGTGATGTTGAAAAGGACAGAGAATAGTCAAGAAGACGGGTCGAAAGGAAATGTGTATCATGAGAGATATTGTTGAAAAGGGATTTTCAAAGCTTTGCTTAGATGTGGCATAAGGCCGAAAGTATGGAGCACCCACTGAGGACCGAACTCACTACACAGTTGTAACTGTTCTAGCGAGATAGACTTGCTAAGCATTGCACCACGTCGAGATGCTCAAGATGTTGTTGTAAGTGTCACCTACTTAACGACGAAGACCGAGCAAGCGAAGCCCTGAATAAAACTCTTAAATATATTAGAAACGGGTTCAAGTTCTTATTTCGGGTGGAGGCGTTTACTTTAACCTTTCTTTTCCTTGGATGCTTGCAGTGGGCCTTCTTCTGTTTTTGGTGCACACTGGCACGAATGAGTATCGCGATCCAGCGTGAGATTGTCATTGACTTGTCAGTGAAAAGCTAGGGTGTCCATGTCAATGTTTACAATTCCTATTTTATTTTTTTTTAATAAATGATGAGATTTGAGTATATATATATATATATATAGCAGGATAAGGACCTCAGGGAATAATAATAATAATAATAATAATAATAATAATAATAATAATAATAATAAACGTTTCCTTCTTAAGAAACATTCAGAATATATTGACCGAGCAGCCAGTGCCACTATCGGCTGATATTCATAAAATCTTTCTCTTAAAACGAATTTTCAGGAAAGGAAATTTCTCAAGTCCAATAGATGTTATCGCTCTTGCCGTTATTAATGAGAGCTTCCTTCTTAACTTTTTGTCTGCAGTAGTGTCGAACCTTAGCATCTTGATTATGTTATTATTTCGCATTACATGTGATATGTATTTTAGTCCTTGATATTGTTAAAAGTTCTCAAGTGATGTCGTTACTGTTATTTGGTACAGTCCACAATGTACCAAGAATGGCGATCCTAGCTGTGGTCTATATGTTTCATTCGTTCAAAGTCAATTTTTAGTTGTTTTTTGGGTTTAGCGGCATATCTACCTCTATGGGTTATTTAATGCAAAAATCTAAATATGTTGAACTCAATTATATGCTTTCAGTTACAGATAAAATTTATTGCTCGTCATTTTCATATAAAATGTATTGTTGGTTATTTTACTATAAATACCTATTGTTCGTCATTTTACTACACAGAAATATATTACAGTAATTTTTATTATAAAAATCTACATTTATAGTTTCATTATTTGCCCATAGCTGGACGCTAACACATGCTACCAACCCAGGGCAGGTTGGACCTAGGAACAACAGCAATTAAGACGTGGTTCGATGCTCTTACAAACTTCCAATCTTCTGATCAGAGGCCTTGCTGCCGGATGTAATTTATCGTCATACCCCGGACTATAGCCATTTTTAACCCCTGGTCTGAGAAAGCGGTTGTATAGAGCTTACGACAGTAAAAAGAGTTAGAGCAACATCAGAAAGGAAGTTGTTGGTCAGCGACATTATTAGTTGTTATGACATATAAAAGAACTTTTGATAACTACCCCTTTATTAAAATCTGGGTAAAACAATGACGTCTGTTTATTGATGTCGGCCCAATACACACGAGTTCTGTCTAGTAAATATCGAGCCATTTTTGATATCTCAAGTTTCGTTTACACTGGCATATTTTTGGCTTACAATCAAAGGGGCCATTACTGTATAAGTCTTGGTTTGTTGATTTTGTTCAGCTCCGCATCAACACCTCTATAGGTTATTTAATGCCGAAATATAAATATTTTGAACAATTTTATGGCTTCATCTATAGATAAAATGCCTTGTTGATCATTATACTACTACATGTATTGTTGGTAATTTTACTATAAATACGTATTAGTGATAATTTACTATGAATAGGTATTGGTGGTAATTTTACTATAAATAGGTATTGGTGGTAATTTTATTATAAATAGATATTGGTGGTAATTTTTACTATGAAAAGGTATTGGTGGTAATTTTACTATAAATAGGTATTGGTGGTAATTTTACTATATATAGGTATTGCTGGTAATTTTTACTATAAATAGGTATTGGTGGTAATTTTACTATGAATAGGTATTGGTGGTAATTTTTTATATAAAAATGTATTGCTTTATTTTTATAATTTCATCGAGTTTGTTTTTGTTTATGTTTGGTATCTCACTATTTTCCCATAGCTGAGAACCTAACAAGTACCACCACAATTATTCTTTCCTTTCAGGAACTGTTTGATTTTTTCTTTATATGTGTTGTGGAGTCGGGTGATGAATCCGGTACCAATAAATAACAAACGCCAAGAAGGAATATAGGAAAATAAATGTATTAATGTAATAATAAAAACTGGTAATGCAGGTTAGTAGTTCCAGGAATGCGGGTTAGTAGCAAAATATATACACAGTCTTGGTATTGAAGTATCGCTGTATGACTTCTTACGGAGTTTACGTGCTTGCTCACTGTGACTCTTGCTCGCTACGTTCGTGCGTTCGTTCTCCTTCGATCTCGTTCGTTCTCGTTCGTTCTCTCGGGTATTCACTAGCAGTAGTATATGTATACCCTGGGTGAGTCCATTTGTGTAAAAAAGGGAGAACCCCTCAACAATATGGATGTGCAAAAAGGACATAATTCTGATATCTCACTTTGACTGACTACTATTCAATATCTGAAGAGTATTATGATATTAATCTAATTTTATATATATCATTCAGATAATTTTTGTGTTTTGGAAGCAGTTTTCCGATACATCGTTACGGGTGTTTTTTTAGGTATTTATTTATTTTGTTTGTTTGCTTTGATTTGTTTGTTTTTTTTTTGTTTGGTTTTTCGTATAGCTGTTTTCCTGCATTTATTTACAGATTCTTGTATGCAAAAAGAATCACTACTTACGACAATAATTGCATTTAAATTATTCTTTTCAGCTCTTATTATTTTAAAAATAAAAATTTATCTTATTTTTCCTGCATAACTCGTTCCTCGCCACTAATAATATTTTCAGGATTACAACGAAATTATTTCATTTGCACAAAAAATAATATATACGGTATTTCAAAAAATACTCTTAGAATAAAGTTTTTTTCTTTTAACGTTAATCTAACGCAAATTACATTTACGCTATATATTTTTTATTTTCGCTGCTATTCAATGCCTTCAAATTTATTCATTATACTGTCTTAAGAATCGTATAGAATAAAAAATATATTCTCAAACTATTGGTTATATAAAGTTAAATAAAATTTATTTTTAAACATAAATAGCAAATTTTCCTAGTCTTCTGTATTTCTTTAGCTTTTATTTTCAATTTTTCGACTGTTTTTTTAGGACAAGACTGGAATTACACAGTTTATATTTTATTCGTTGACCTGAAAGGCTTCCATTCGTAAATAAAACGTTATTTTCATTCCGTTTTAAGTAAAAGATAAGCATTACTTTTAGAAAATCCAGTTGATTAATTCTTCAATTTACGAGTAGACTTCGAAAAACATCTCCAGGATAAATATTAGGTTTTAAAGAGATTTTTAAATTTGTTGTTTGCATTTTTCGTATACAATGGCGGCTCGGTAAGAGGCGAAAAACGTACCAATCCTTTATATATTTTTTTAATATTTTTTCTTTTAATTCAGGTTATCTTTAGGCTATAATCTTTCAAAGAGAACCGTAATTTAACGTTTAAGGTTTTTATTAGTAATTCCGAGCTGAAACCTAAACATATATCAGGATAGCGCACAGATAGATAGATAGATAGATAGATAGATAGATAGATAGATAGATAGATCTCGTATGATTAAGGCTATGTGTTCATTCAGTCCTTCAGTTAAGAGCCATACGTGATACATATATATATATATATATATATATATATATATATATATATATATATATATATATATATATATATACACGTACGGTTATATATCATTAGTAGGTTAGGGAAACGAATTAACACCCACACATATTCAAATAGAAAAATAACTAGCTAGCTAGCACGATAGGTAGGTAGATAGATAAAGAAAAGAGAGATAAATATATATATATATATATATATATATATATATATATATATATATATATATATATTCTTATTTATTTAGTATAGGATTGATGTAAATGGAATAAATTCCAATAACCAAAAATACTATTCTTAAAAGAGTGCTCTATACAGAGTAGAGAAAATATAATTTATTCGAAAGTAGAATCTACATTCAACAGCATCACTTGATAAGACACCAGAAGTATTGAAACAAAATGGTTATTTTCATAGTGATTTTATAACATATTTATGTTTTAATCTTCGAATAAATTATATATATATATTCATATATATGAGTACATATATATATATATATATATATATATATATATATATATATAAGGAATGTTAAAAGATTCATGTTAAAAAGATAAAAAATATAAAAAAAACAAATGAAAACTACAGACAAAAGTTCATTTTCTCCATCAAGACATTCATTTCTGTAGTTTACTGCTACCAGCAAGCAGAAATATTTCTTCTCCCGATGATGGCCATTTTGGCTGAAACTAGTCGAGTAATCTAAATGAAATAATAATAAAAAAAACGAAAGAATATTAATCTACAACCCAGTGTGTCTGAAGATTTTAATTTTTTAATATTTTTTTATTGTTCAATATATTTATTTTTTATTGTTCAATATAATTGTTTATATATATATATATATATATATATATATATATATATTATATTTATATTTATACATATATTCATGTATATATATATATTCATTATATATATATATATATATATATATATATATATATATATTCAGAAATTTAAATGGTTTAGATGATATAGATATATATGAAAATATATGGAGAGATTGAAATACATAGCTTTATAGATAAAATAAAAGGTCTCTGTGTACTTATGTGGATTGTTTGGTCATAATTTCCCTGGTACCTTTAACGATTTTCATTTGTTAACTTTTTTGCGGATGGGGAGCTAGATGTTGCTTCTGTTTAGCTTCGATTGAAATTTGTATTCGTAACTGCGGCAAAATGAGAAAATTAAATTGGGTATTGGTTACGGAAAAAACTCAATATGCAAGAAAAACAAATACAGAAAAATGTTTGCCTTTAGGAAAAACCATAGTAGGAAAATGTTAGGATCAAAAAGCGAAAAGAAGAAAAGAGCCACTTTCAAGTCATTAAAGCCAAGATGGCGGAAAGAAATACATATCCGTCGTTGCCAGATATGTACGGATTAGAGAATTAAAATCGAAAGTAAGATCGAATGTACAATAGAAAAATGGAAAGAATCTAAAAACAAAGACACAGAGAAATATTCCAAATTATAGAATAAGTTATTTTTTCGTTGCCGACGAGAAAACAATTTCGTTATTATTATAAAAATATTAAAATGGCGACAATTTACCCATCGCACCTTCTATGTATTAGAAACATTTGCAATAAAGTATTCGGCTATTTTGTAACTCGACAATGTTTAATATTCATATAGTGATTCGTAATACAGCTATTGATATTTTAAATTTTTGATGACTGAAGAATTGGTCATAATTATGAGAATCCTGATAAAAAGTAGTGATTCAGTGATTTGTTTTTAAATGGTTTATCAAATTTATTAAACCGAGAATTATTTTAGATTGCAAGAATAATTATTTTCTTTTTTTTTGCCAGTGAATAATGCATTAACAGTTTTTCAAATCCTCATTTCCCAAGGTTATTTGCTTGTAAGTGAATGCTACGAATTCAGACTGTCTGATTTCTCATCCGGAAGAACCAATATCCATTACACTACCCGCGCACCCGATATTTTTTTATTTTTTTAATATTTTCTAAGGGTATAAAGAGAGGAGGTAAAAAGTGCATATTATGAGAGGGTGTAAAAAGTGAATATTATAAGAGGGTGCAAAAAGTGCAGCTTATGAGAGGATGCAAAAAGTGCATCTTACGATAGGATGCAAAAAGTGCATGTTATGAGAGGATGAAAAAGTGCATATTATGAGAGGATGTAAAAGTGCATCTTATGAGAGGATGCAAAAAGTGCATCTTACAATAGGATGCAAAAAGTGCATGTTGTGAGAGGATGAAAAAGTGCATATTATTAGAGGATGTAAAACGTGCATATTATGAGAGGATATAAAAAGTGCATATTACGCGATGGATGGCGGTTGTTCCTAGACTTGCAGAAATTATGATCGCACTCAACGTGAAAGCTTCCATTCGAGTGTCTGTTTCACGGGGCAACTGCCCTGAAGAAGTTATCTGAGTGAAACTTTGTTTTGACGATTGATTATGAATGATTGCTCTTCTATTCTATGTATGTGGCTGACGGGTCCTAACTGAAGCAACCCTGAATATTTACCCTAAATTTAGCGACAGAATAATGCGATATATGTTGCCTGTGGTAATGGATTTTGGGGTGGAAAATAATTTATCAGATAGATAGAAAGATAGATAGCCAAGAAGCCAGAGAATGAAGGAAGGGTGTCATCACTGAGGCTAAAATTGGGCATTTTACATTATCTTAATGTCATTCGATGGTGACAACAAAAGTCAATCCCATCACTCAACGTTAAGTCGAAAAATGTAAAACAAATTCAAACATTTACGAACATTTGGCTATTTGCCGAATAAAATATGTTTATATCATAGACTCCAAGATATCATCTATTTTAAAAGTATTTTTGGTTCTTACACAGCATTCGTCTGTTGATATATATTGGACATTCTCACGAGGGATGAGTGCCATAGATTCTCAAACAAAGAAATCGTTCTTCTTTTTTTAAGACGACTTGAAAAAATATTCGAAACCTTTACAGACATCTAAGGACATTGAAGAGGTAGAAGGAGGAATGGAAAGAATCCAAAACGATTAATGATCTCTGGGGTGGAGAGAGGTGGAAGCTTTTCTTTGTCGTAAAACCAATCTGAATTTGGCAAGAAAGGGAAAAGAAAACAGATTAAAAACAAATAGAGATTAAAAAAAAAAAACAGAAAGAAAAGAAAACAGTATCCTATTGATACCAAGAACATATTCTTAACAATCTGAAAGGAAATAACAAATCTGGTAGAAATAAAAAGACATTACAAAAAACGCTGTAATAAATATCTGGTTGGGATGCTGAGATGTGCGTCTCTTAGAACAGCTTCTATTGGCGATAAGGGCTGGATAGTTATAATTCATACTAGCAGCCACCCCCCTCCAAAATGAGAAACATAGAATCGCCAGTTTTACATAGTTTGCTCAGAGTACATTTACCACCAGAAGGGAATTCGGACTATAAATAATTTCATGATGGCTTTTACCGTTTTTTTTCCTGACATTATATCAAAACGAAAAACGGTCTCATACAAAACATGCAATCGCCTGCATTACATGAGATGCTCAGAATGAGTTGGCCACCAGAAGGAAATTCAGACTATACACAATTTGATGATCAATACGTTTTTTTCTTGACATATTAATTCACAATATTAAAGATCATGACTCTCCACAGATTCCATTTATTTATTATCTGTGGACGCATTCTTGGGAAATCAAAGATATTGCTTCGCGCTCCATTTGATTTGTAAGTTTTCCTTCTCTTACGCTACCAGTCAAATGCAGATAAACTAGTCTACCTTGTTATTTAATCTATAGCGGAGGATAAGAAGAGATCGAGCCATGCCCTTCCCAGGTGTATTATTGCGAAAATAAATACTACAGACTCACCTGCAGTTCAAACTCGGCTCGTCGATTTTACCTGACGCGTCGAGTTCGAATTGCATTCGTGTCTGTTTACATTTTATTTCACCTAGCCGCATTTTTTTTCCACAGTAAGTGGTTTCAAACCGACATTAATCATATCTTCGGAAGAGGAAAGCTATGATAGGCTAAATGCATGCGTTTAAGAAAATTCGTCTTTAGTTTCATTAACGAGATACAGTTATGGGCACACCTTGATATCTGTTGTAATGCGAGTAGAGGTCGGCACAATTTTAGGACTAACATCATTGTTGACCCATCTTTTTAAAAAGCAGACAATTTATTAGAAGTTATTTAAAGAATTTTTTTTTTCTCAGAAGTTTTAGAATTCCTTAATTATATAATAAATAAGTGAAGGGGATCTTCTTTTGAACATTCGATGTAAAACTCAAAATTTATTTCTTTATATTCTGTCTGGTAACGAATTGAATTTTATATTCCAATGTTTAATATATGCTATTAAGTTTGTTAAATAACCAACTGTTTATAGTTTGACACGCTTTCTATTGGAAGGAATTCAAGTCTTGATTTTATGATTCTGTAATATATTAGCAAAGAATATACAATATATTGCGAATACATGTATCTGAAAGTCCTCCAGACGAAGGAAAAAGAGGCAAGTAATCAGGATCAGAGAAACAATACTAAAATCTTCTTTCGATGAAATACAATTAAAACAAACCTGATCGTGGTATTAAAAATAAGCACCGATGATAATGATGATGATGATGGTGATCTTCTTCTTCTTCTTTGTGTCGTTTCTCTTCAGGATATGACTCTCCAAAATTTCCTGTCGTTTACAGCTCTTACTATCCCTCCGTCCCAGTGTGGCAAGATACAACACATTGTCAATTTAATGTGGCAGGTCCGAGCGCGTGAAACCGGGGCACGGCCAAGAATTGTTCAGCACTCGTAACCCTCGGTGTTCCTAAATCTCTTTGGTGCAATTAAGGATGTAATGATGCGGGAGATATTCCTCGAAATTGGGCACCTCCCAGTAATATTTTCATTTGCGCTCTACCCGAAGACAGAGACACAATTGAGAGATGAGGAAAGAAAAAAAAACTCAATGCCTCGAAGTGTCTCTCAAAGTGGTAAGGGTTTTTGCAATCTCTCGGATTACTTCGGAAGTGTACTGGTCAAACTGTCTGCTTCCGGACCGAGAGGATCCCCAGACCAGGCTGTTGAAGGGCAGAGTGTCGTCTCGAGAGGCAGCTACCCGACCTCGTTTTTACAGGGTCTACAAGAAACTTGGCCTTGTGCCGCATCCAACAGCGAGGGACATTTAGCAAATATCTCACTTAATCCGGATTACTTCGGAAATGTGCTGGTAAATCTGTCTACCTCCGGGCAGAGAGGATCCCCAGACGAGGCTATGTGAAAGAGGAGAGTGTCGTCTCACAAGACAGTTACAGGGTCTACAGGTCTCTTAATCCCTGTTGTGACAAATATTTGCACAAGCTCATTAGTTAGGTAATTCGCTGGTTCGTCTCTATGTCTCACCTTTAATATGTTCTGTTGGTAACAAATATTTCTAAGCCATCTTTCCTCATTATGTGGCTTAGACATTTCAGCTGTCTCTTTCTGATGTTAACTATAATTTCTTTGCCTAAAACTTTCGTTGTTCACAAGTTCAGTACTTGGAACTCTCAGCATCCTTCTGTAGAACCAGAGAATTTAAAACGATTACTTGGTTACGTATTTTAGTGCTTCACGTTACATGCAATTATTTATACATTCTGCAAACAATAGACAGAGCTTTATTTTTTTTAATAACCGTATATAACCAACACTGCATTTTTATCAACTATCACTTATGTTATTGCCAGCTAAATCTGTTTTTATATAAGTAGGGAAATAATCGTTCTAAGTAACGCGATTAAGCGAAATAAGTCCTCCGTAACTTGTTGCGTTAAGTATTTTTTACGGCAGTTTTGTATATATATATATATATATATATATATATATATTTACAATATCTTTTCTGAATTAAAATATATCTGGAGATATATCTCTTCATTTTTTTTAATCGCTATCACCCCACATAGGCAATATAGCCACCAGCACGCAAAGGGTTACAATGTGTAGAGAAATTAGGAACAGAAACATCAGTACTGAGTAAAAAGAACAATCAGCAGGACAGTAGATAGCGATTGACACTGCACTTAAATCTTTGCAGGATAACGTTGGCTGGAAATACGTGGAGCGGGGAGTTAGTTCCACAAGCGAGAAGTGCATGATAAGAAACTGTTTGAATAGTAGTTGAGCTACAGAGAAGTTGCATACAGTTGAGCTAGCTAGATACATCTAGCTAGCTCAACTGTAAATTGATGAGATCTCACCGCCAGTCTAATATTGCGCTTAAATTCATAAAGTCTAGGTATCATAGCGAAGAGCTCACCCGAACATTTACCATGAAAGTACTTATAAAAAAGGCACAGGCAGTGGGCAAATCACTGAAGCCGAGCCAAAGGATCAGGACGAATAATATTGCTGATTCTTCTATCGATCTTATCAAGAAGCGTCAGGTAAATAGCAGGGACACCGGATCATATATGACTGCAATATCCTAATGTTGGGGCGCACCCACCTTCTCATCAGAATGGACTGATCTCTCTATTACTAATAGGACAGTTCTATAGAGTTCTGGGGGATCAGGTGACCATTACACTTTCGTCTCTCTACCGGAAGATACAGTTGGACTTTATACTCTTTCTGATTGTTACTGACTAACCTGCGTTCGTTTGACTACTAATCTCTCTGTTGTAAATACCTCTTCAGATATACCAGTATTTTTCCCTGCGTATGTGTTTGTCCTTATTTCAATACACGCACGCGGAAACACCCAACATCTCAACACTAATAGACTTATAGATATTCAAGATCCAGAGAGAAAAATTGAACCGACTTTCTCAGCAGCTGATCTAGCAATGGATTCAATATAGTCTTTCCACCTCATGTCAGCTGAGAACGTTAGCACAAGAAGGCGCGATGAGTCTCATTCCTGGAGGATAGCAACAGCCATGCTGATGAAAGACAGAGATGGGCCTCTTATATGATTAATAGAGAGTAGTTTAGTTTTGGAAGCGTTCAAATTTTGCCCCAGTTACCAAAGTTCTTGAGGACGTTTTGTATATCAACTTCCATTTTGACCTTGTCGGACTGATCGGCCTTACTATCGAGGCAGGAGTAAATGTTAGTATCGTCAACGAGAGCTGTTGTCATCGGGAAGGTCGTTAATGAAGACGTAGGCCCAAGGATGGAGACCTGGGAGACACCCGATTTAGTAGGAAAGGATGTAAAGTGGCCGACTAGATCAGCTCAAAAACGTGGCCGGTGATGTGGATAAAAATCTGTCAAAGGCTTTCGAGACATCCCGGGTTTCACCATTTTTATCTAGAGCATGAAAAACTCTTGCCGCAACTATCGTTAGTACATCAGAGTTTTATCTGGAGAAACAAAAGCTGTATTGTAGACTATATTTCTTCATACATATATATATATATATATATATATATATATATATATATATATATAAGGCATGTGTTATTAAAGACTACGTAACTCTTCTGCTTGATGATATTTTCCTCATTTTTTTCTTGCTTCCTCGCAAGTTTCTTAATGTTTGGGTACAGATTGTTAAATTAGATTCCCAATAGCTTTCTGCTCAATGCTTTCGTTTGTCCTCAATCGTCATCATGGCATTTGTTGTTATTTGGAGATATGTTATTGGTTGTTTTAGCTTTATAGATAATTGTAAGCGATATTATTGGGTGAGTTCATTGTTGGTAAGGTGGGGATTGATTTTTTTTTATTGGAGAATTAGTTTTTAAATATGCTTTATATGTTTCTCCAATGTTAAATGCTATTTCATTGGTGTTGGGTTTTTGGTTTTGATGAGTATATATATAATATAAATTGACAATTAGTAAGGATAATTCCAAGGAGAATATTAATCCAAGAGATCAATGAAGTAACAGAGCAATATAATAATGTGTACAGACGGTCCTTAAAAATTCGGTTATAATTTATTTCATGAATATACAAAACATTCATCTCTTCAGACCGTAGTTTTTTTTTAATAAATGGAGTCAATTTATCCAGACGAAAGGAAAAGGGAAAGGAAAAAAGAAAAGGAAAGAGATTTAATATTAAAAGAGAAAAAAAGAAAAAGAAAAATTTCAATATAAGTTTAAAAAAAAATGGAGGAGTTAAAGAGAGAAAGGTGAAGGAGAGGCGAAGGGAAGATAGGAGGAGAGAGAGGAAAAGAAAAGAAAGGAAAAAAGGAAGAATTAAACATGAGCCGATAGGGTGACCTAGAATTTTTTTTTTTTCTTTAAGGACTGAACAAGTTAAATTACAGGGTAAGGAAGAGGGTGATCGGATTTAAAATAGATACATTATATATCATTTGAAAATAAATCCGTTTGAAGCGGCATCAGGAGTGTTTAGTTTCAAATAATTTCACAAAATTAGGAGATTGTTATATTTTTCTTAAATAAGTGTGATTATTAAACTGATTTATATTTAATACAGATTGGTACGAATTGTGCAAAGTAATTATGAAAAGTGCAAGTCTATAATAAGTTATAGGAAATCAGGATTCGAACCTGCGTACCCCTTTGTAAGAGAAAACGCTGAATATATATATATATATATATATATATATATATATATATATATATATATGTGTGTGTGTGTGTGTGTGTGTGTTTGTGTGTGTGTTTGACTGTTTTGTGTGCGTATAAGTGTGCGCGTCTATGTGCGTTTGTGTACGTGGACATGTATGTATCTGTGTATATACACAAATAGACAGACACATACTTTGACATTTGTGTGTGTGCATAGGTCTGGTAATGAAAGTACGGATATAGCAGAATGGAAATTTAGGGTTTGACGTATTTGAATTTTTTATAGCTTCCTCTGGAAGTACTATTTATTACAAATGAATATGCAACGAGTTGAGTCCAAAGAAAGAAATACTTTGTGTTAGACAAGGAACTTGGTCATAAAGCCGACCAGCTTAAGAAGACAATAAAAAACAGTCTTTTTTCGTTATATTATACAAGTGTCGGTCAGAAAGTAAACATTGTTATAATTTCCTTTTAAATGCATTAGTTAGAAACCCAATGATTTCTTAGCTTTAGATCATGAAGTGCCAAAAAGCCAAGAAAAAATGGCTTCTGTAATTACGTTCTTTCGTTTTCCTATGAAACCCACTTTCAAAATGGCTGGCCCATTGAACGAAGAAACAAATAGATGTCATAGAATTTCTATCTTTGAACGAAAAATTCTACAAACTAAAAGAAACCACAGGAATGTGATGGTTCCATAGAATTATTAGCAATTCTAGAACAATGGCCGAGTTAACTTACTAGCAGGTAGCTGCTGAGAATGAGGCAAAAGATCTGATGCTTTGATCATAATTGACAAAACTCTTTAAAAATATTCAAGGGATACACAGTAGTGCATGATCTTCTAATCTTTTGGATATTTAAAAGCCTATGAAGAGGCAAACACCATGATATAGAGGTGGGGGCTGCCCACAATACTCAAAGGCCTGTGAAAAGACAGACAACACGATAGAGAGCTGGGTGCTGCCCACAATACTCAAAGACCTACGTAAAGACTGTAAAGACAGGCACAACGATCGAAAGATGGGTGCTGCCCACAATACTCAAGGGCCAGGAAAAGGTAAGCACAACGATAAAGAGGTGGGTACTGCCCCGAATACTCAAAGGCCTGTGAAAAGGCAGACAACACGATAGAGATCTGGGTGCTGCCCACGATACTCAAGGACCTACGTAAAGACTGTAAAGACAGGCGCAACGATCGAGAGCTGGGTACTGCCCACAATACTCAAGGGCCAGGAAAAAGTAGGCACAACGATAAAGAGGTGGCTAATACCCCGAATACTCAAAGGCCTATAAAAAGGCAGACACCACGATAGAGAGGTGGGTGTCAATAAGATAAAATTTTAGTGAGATGGCCGCTAAAGTTATAATTGGAGTTCGCTGCTATAATTCGGAGACCAAAAGATCAAGAGTTTCACCTTCCACACTAAAGCAGAAAGAAGAATTATAAGGAACAAACCCACGCGATGCAGGCAATAGTCACTGGATACGTGATCAGGAGGGAAACATACTCCTAGCGCTTGTGGCCAATTGTAACAGGATCAAGGAGCAACGTTCGTTTGAAATTTGATAATGGTAAAACTCACAGCAGATATTTTTTCACTGCGCATGCCTAAACAATCAAACCTTATACACCCTACAAACCTGGTCTGTGGCTTTCAGATTTTGATTATTTTGTTCCATGAAAGAAGACCTTAGTGAATATTTTCTCCAAACATGATAATTTGTAATGATAATATTAGCAGTTTCCTTATAATGAAAAATTTGGCATTAGTTAACTGGTCAGCCAGTACTAGAGTGAGTCGAAGTTTGTGAAATATTTTCCTTAAAACAATTTTTCACGAAAACAGATTTCGGAATTTCACTAACTGATCTTTTCGATACTTATGTATGTTTCCTTCCTAACCTTCTGTTCGAAGCAGTGTGGAACGTCAACATGTTTATTATGTCATTATTTTCCCTTCAAGTAACCTGTGTTATCTATTTTAATTGTTGCTGTTGTTGAAAGTGCTCAGGGTTTGTTTTTTTTTTCTTTTTGTTTTGTTTTTTGTTATTTGATATAGTTCTTTGTGATTCTGTAGCGCCTATCCACAATCGTCCGAAGGATAATTGCCTCGCTAAGAGCTACTTGAAGCCATTGATTGTGAAAAGACGTGAAAACGGCAACTTGTACATTAAGAAGAAAGCAGACCAGAATCTTCTACGAATCAGGTACCCATGCCCTCATGAAAAGGTGAAAAATCACGTTTGAATAAGAAGGGGATCATTTTAAGGACTAGATTAAGAATTCTTCTCTGTTAATTTTGGTTTCTTTTCTGCGTGACTACCATGGAATCAGTTTTAATTAAGAATGAAGAATCATTATCCTTTAACAACCGACGTTTTCATATATAGAATGAGTTTCCTTAGAAATCAACTTGATGAGAAGAACCTACTTCACTTTGGAAATGACAAAAATAAGAAGGGCGTAAAAATAAATGATTTTCTTTTCATAATAATGCTAATCATTTAACATACGCCTCTATTTTATTTCTCTATGAGAAATAGAATTTAGCACATTTGTTTTTATAAACATATTCTCGTGAAGGAGGCGTAATGGATAGCGGCTCGGACTGAGGAATCGAATAGCAGTGTTCGAATTCCAGTCGGATCCATTACATTTCCTTACGCGCTAATACGTTTGGGAAAGATATGAATCCTCTTCTTCTACCCGAAACCCCACCAGCTATCAGTAAATAGCAGGACAGACTGGGATCTATAGCCTTCGTGGCAAGCGGTCTTGGAAAAGGTAACTGAATTCAAAACAAGTCTGGAGAGGATTGAGCTCCTTCAGTCTATCTTGTCCAAGAAACACCACTTCTACTGTGGTTACAGTAGATGTGATGCCACTACGACCATCGCAATCCCCTGAAGACTTAACTACTAGATTTATTTCAGTAATTTACTTCTCAGATAGGTTCTGCTTTAGTCTTAACTATTAATCATGGCATATTATAAAAGAGATTTACACTACAATTATAGTCATCAAAAGACAATAGTTTTTTTTTCGGCTATGCAAAGATTCGTGTTCTGGTTTATAAAATTGTAAGGAAAACACTGGAATGCGTACATTTAAACACTACGACTCATTCTGCTACAGCTGTTCCTATAATCAGACCTTGCACTCATAGGGAATGAACGTGTCTATGTCCAACAATTAGTGTAGTGAAGGTCAGTCGTCTTTTGACACAAGAAAGCTTTGACTTTTATTGTCTATATGACTAAAATAACGGATAAATAATTCGATCGGTAAATTTGCGAAACGATAATGTTCGGTGGTATATATTGTGCATCTGTAAGAAGCCTATTCATACAGGAAATAAAGAATAAACATCTATTTTGAGGATATGTAGGATAAATAAAGGTTTACTCTAGACTTGAAGAGGTTAAGACTGTAGTAATTGGCAAAATATATTCCTGGAAGTCTGTTCCACAAAGTAGCGGATCTTGCGAAGGAGCCATTCGAATGGAACTCTCTTCTAAGTAATGGAATATGAAAGCGATCGGAATAATTCGTCACAGTGTACATGTCATTGCAAATCAGGAGATGTAAAAGTTTGAACTGGTGGAACTAAGGAATATATCTCGTCAGAATTACTTGGCATGGAAATTGAGATAAAATCAGTCAGTTAATTAATTGCTATACATGTTACACGCTTGACAAATCATGTCTCTTTCGATTCATGACAAACTTGGCGGAAGATTTTTCCGCAATAGGTTGACATTTCTTTCTACAGTAGACTTGTTGACAACCAAGGCAATATAATCCAGACTGTCCAGCTATTTAACCCACAGCAGGGAGGAAAGAAATGATTCAAATCTTCCTAAGGCTATTTCCGCGTAACTGAATGCAGCGAACTTGATTTCATCCATTAACTATATCAATAGCTAGATAGATAGACAGACAGACAGACAGATAGATAGATAGATAGATAGATAGATAGATAGATAGATAGATAATGAATGAACAGACTGAGATAGATAGATAGATAGATAGATAGATAGATAGATAGATAGATAGATAGATAGATAGATAGATAGAGAATGAATGAATGAATGAATGAATGAATGAATGAATGAATGAATGAATGAATGAATGAATGAATGAATGAATAGACTGTGCCATGTGTCCTCGAGGACACATGGCACAGTGGATAAAGGCGTTGGTTAGATCCAATGACAGGACCCAAAGAGTGTGAGTTCAATACCTGGTTAAGGCGGTGGAGAACTTTGAGAGGGGAATTAACTTGAGATAACTGACATCCATAGAATAGATAAGAAACATTCACTCTGCTCAATGATATTGGAAACAAAATAACTATAAATTACATTTAAATTACTCTTTTACTTATAAAAGGCACGTGGAACTAGAACAGTGAAATAAAGGGTTCAGTTCGACATTCCAACCCCCTGAAGAAGGCCAGAGCTTACAACGGCCGAAACGCTGTAATAAATGTGTCAGCAAAGATGATGACAATAGTCCGAATAATGTAAATAGTTTACATAATAGCTCATCTCAGAAACATAGACAGATACTGAATAGACTGCGATAGACAGATAAATAGATAGATAATGAATGAATAGACTGAGATAGATTTTGTTTAATTCACGTTATTTGTTCAGTGAGTCATTTAAATGCCATACGTTAAAAGGTAGAAGAACAGTATTGACATAAAATATAAATAAATTTAATCGAACTCTGATAGATTAATATAGGAAACATTCACTCTGCTCAATGATATTGGAAATAAAATAACTATAAATTACATTTAAATTACTCTTTTACTTATAAAGTACTTTTCCTGTATTATGACATAAGCATCAAGGTAGATCTCAGTGCAGTTATTTTTCAAAGATCTCTTTGAATGATTATTCATGGAAACGGAAACGAAAAATGGCACCCTATGATCACAGGCTTCATTAGATCTTATTCAGACTCGGAGCTATTTTTGTTTTTGTAAAATTCAGCATTTATCGCAAAGAAATATAAAGTAAAAAAAAAATGCTAAAGAAAAAAACCTGGCAGCAAATGCCCGTCGGCCATTTTAAACTGATTCCTGGGAAGTAGGCATATATTGATGTTTGACAAATTTCTGAAAGTGCATCAAGATTCAATAAGTGTTTTATTTATTTATTTTTTATTTATTTACTTATTCATTTATTTACTTATTTATTTATTACTTCTTGATTAGAAACAGCACTGAAAACGATTAATAATTCTATATTTACTTTTTATAACACATTTATGGTTGTTTTTTTTTTCATAAAGACAAAGTGATTGTAGACATTAATACTCTTTAGTATCTGACTTTTATACTCAATACTTTGAGATTTCAATACCAAATACTTTCAGATTTCAATAGTCAATAATTCTAGGCTTCAATACAGAACATATCCAAACTCGAATATTTGATATTTCTAAAATACAATACTGATTATCTTTTTACTTAGGAGTTCGAGACTTCGAAACTCCGTACATCATGTTTTCAATACTCAATATTCTGTATTTGTTTTCTCAAGTCTCCGAGATGTCAAAACACCGTACCTAATATTCAGTATCTAATACTTTCCAACTTCATGTTCTGTTCCAAAAGTCGCATTACCATTGATAACCGTGTAAATTTTATATTTATTTACCAAATGGAATCATGTTTCTGTATTTAATAATATATTATTAAGAAGTTTTATTAGCCGAATTAAGGAAGATGATGTCATGCAATTTTTCTTGGTAGCCAGTTAACAAATGTACGTTTTCTGCCAATTGTCACATGAGCTTTATAGCACCCTGTACTATATCCGGAATAGTTTTTTTTTTGCAGATTAATCTAAAGTCTATAATTACTATTAACATATTGACTGATTGGTTGATTCGATTCTTGGGCTTGTCAGCACTCTTCAAGTTATTTAAAGCCAGAAAATAGTAATAGATTATAAGATTTTTTTTTTAAATAATAATGATTTAGTGATAAAAACCTTACTAATTAACCCATAGCGGGGAGAGAAGAGGTGGATTCACAGCTTTCTCAGTGATATTTGCGCATAAATGAAAATAACAAATCCAACTGGATCGCGGTCCTCCAATTAACAATTCCAAGACTTTATTCATTACACCAGCCTCACATTTAAATTTACAGTACCCTGTATTCTCAAACTGTCACTCATCTAGATACTGACCATGCAAGACGTTGCTTAACTTCAATGATCGTGGGGAAACCGGCTTTTCAACATGATGCAATCGTAAGCATCCTCACTGCACTTCCAGTTCATACTTGTGAATACTAAATGGCTCTGGATTTTCACTTTTTTTTTCTCCTAATTCACTGATATTTTCCAACATTTTAGTCTCTTTATATAATTTCCATCGTTCATCGCCGATTCGTGGTGTAATGAAGATATTTACTTTATGATAAATCTATACAAATATATCAGATTTCATTATCCATGTCGATGTCCTCACAATAAAGTTGCAATTAACCAACAGGTATTGGCAATTTTTTCAGCATATACTTACATTTATATTATGCATATACGATATGAATGTCTGATTATAATATCCGCTTTTATATACAAAATTTTAACTATAATATAACTGGTGTGTATTTCATAAAAAACTAAGTAACTTATTTGGCAGCGTGAGATCTTATCAAACAACACGTGTATCGTACTTAAACTTCATTCCAGGTTATGAAGGTTGTTACAAATTTGAAACACCCAGTGAGGATCTAACAATGATAGCTTGTCAACCATTACACAACAACGAGGCACCAAAGCCTGACAACGTTTGAGTGCAATCTGTTCTTCCATTGATGCTTTACTATAAGTGAGGCGGTCGAATAAAATTGATGTTGCAAGAGGTGTTTTAATCGAAATGTCTCATTTTTATTATTATTAATATTGTGAATATTTTCATGCAGTCTTGATTATTTCACGTCGAGCGAGTGAATTGGAAAAATGCAAAAAAAAATAGTACAATATTTGGAGCCGTATTTCATAAAAGTCAATTGTCCACTATCGAACTATGTTGCCTCCTACAGGTTACGTAATTTTTCGATTTTTGTTTGCAGTTGGAAGCTAGACGACTCTGTCCATCTTATAAATAAGAACCGTTGCAAATGATTTCATATATACGGACACTGATTTCTTAATGTTATATTCAAGAATATCGAAAGCTCTTGGACGTAGTCCTGGAATTTTTTTCAGTTCTCCTCCTGTTTTATAATGAATCTTCCATAATTAATGCTGATGCACTTAAATCTAATTTAATCGTTTTCTAACTATTCTAACATCATGTTTAGATCCAAAACATCACTTATTTAATACTTTTACCCTTCGTAACATTTGGTCCCATACGAGAGAAAAGTCTAACTAAAGGTGTATTCTTTATAGTAAATTTTACCCATTGATGAGTAGACAGCCACTCAAGATGGAGGGTTAATGTTAAAATGGCTTCGATGATTGAGGTGTGTAATTTGAATCAAAGAAAAGGTTGCAGAAAGTAGAGATTATTATGAGGAAAATGAGATTGATAACGATTAACGCTTTACTTCAAGACTTTAAGCTTTTAGTGTTCAGGGAAGGATCCACGAAGGAGTTTGGTTATCGATGTGCTGAGTTCTTGAGAAAAAGCTGATTGGAAATTTCACCTTGCATTTGGAATATGGAAAAAATGAGATTCTTTCGATTCTGCGAAAATAGTTCTAAATGAATGAACATGTATAACAGAATGTATAAACATATAATACTGAAAAGGGGAACTGATCGTATTTGCCATTTAAGAACGATTTATTTGAATTTACTAAACGCTATGCATATGGAAACAAAAAAAAATGACAATTACACTTAACGTCAGAGAGAGGCAGTTGAAGTTTCTAGTGCACATCATGAGAAAAGGCGGCTTAGAACATTTGACACTCACAGGACAGAGGCAAGAGAGAGGAAAAACAACGCATAACTTTCGTAACGAGATTTTGTAAATAGTTGGCAGAGCAAGGTTTAGGAAAGATAACAAAAAGACGATTGTGTCTCTCCGCGATGCCTAACAACACAAGCGGAAGGAAAAACTGAACTAAACTAACTGAAAAAGATTAATCATTCTATATTAACTAATTTTTACATCATTCATTTCTGGTAGTTTTTTTTCTGGAGAAAAATTTAATGTAAACTTTAATACTCGATGCCTTTTGACTTCAATATTCAATACATCTAGATTTCAATATCAAATACTTTCAAACTTCAATAGTCAATAATACTAGACTTCAATACCGAACACTACTGAATTCTAATACTTAATATTTCTTGAATACATTATCGGTTATTTTTTACTGCTGTAAACATCTAATAATTGAATCTTGTAGTAGCAGGCACATTTTATTCTGGTGTTACCTGCGGCCTAAATGAAGCGAAGTGAACAGTATAACGGACGCGTCTAACTTTTCGCGTCGCGGCCTCTTGTCCGCTCACTGTCGGTCTTTCTGCGTCTTTGTCTTTACTGTCTTATAGAGAACATTGTTCTTTCTCTTGTCTTCTTTGTCAAAACCTTTATCAAGGTCTGGCTTCATTCAGTGACCTCATTTGTCAGGGTGGTTTGTCATGCCCTTGTAAGTTCCACTTTACTTAGCTGATAATGATCAAGACAATAAATGTCTATAACAATTTTTGTGATAGACAGATGTTTCCATTTAACAGGATATCGGCTGACAGTGATTTCGCTACACGCACAAGTGGTGAAAGAAAGTTATGCAAACGCCTGATACGAGAGGCAGGAACTAAAGTCTTCACAAGACGATTCGAATGTTCGGACGATGTCCCCGAAAACATACATATCCTCACGGTCGGTATTAATTTAACGGAGTTCAAAAGGGAATAAACAATAATTCTATGTATGAAAGATTTAGCATTCTCATTAGACTTTATGTGCACAAATAATGCGGAGGTGTTACCGGCAGTAGAGAAAAGTTTGTCACATTTGCATATATACAATCGATGTTTCACTTTGACGTAACTCACCTCAAGTGAGCCTGTTTACAGCTTTCTGGCTTTGGTTATCTGCCTTCAATATGCATTCGCTTCCTTTATCTGTAGTCTGTCAGTATTTATTATTCGTATTCTTTTAAGATCCTTTCCTAC